TGATCACACCGAGCTGCCACCCTCCCCGTGTCACCCTGATCAATGAGTGGGCACTGAGGTGCCACTCTCCCCGTGTCACCCCCCAACACACCGAGGTGCCACCCTCCCCGTGTCACCCCCACCAGGACGGGATCAGGGAGGTGCCACCCTCCCCGTGTCACCCCCAACACACCGAGGTGCCACCCTCCCCGTGTCACCCTCACCAGTATGGGATCAGGGAGGTGCCACCCTCCCCGTGTCACACCGATCACACCGAGCTGCCACCCTCGCACCTTTGTCCAGCACGTAGAGTGTGACCTGCGAGGATTTGCCCACGATGTCGGGCGGGTTTTTCACGTCGCACGTGAAGGTGCCGTTGTCCGTGGGCTCCAGGCCGTGGATGACGATGGAGCCGTCCTTGCGCCGCGGGTTCCCCGCCCACTCGATGCGGTCCTTGAAGCTGCCCACGTCATCGATGTACGGCTGGCCCTGCGCGTAGTGGAAGATCTGCGACAGCGACAGCGCCGTCAGAGGGTGGCCGGGGTGGCGGGGTGACACCCCAGGGTGGCGGGGTGACACCGCAGAGCCGGCGGAGTGAGACCCAGGATCGGGGTGACACCGCAGAGCCGGCGGGATGAAACCCCAAAGCCGGCAAGGTGACACTCCAGAGCCAACAGGGTGACACCTCAGAGCCGGGGTGACACCCCAGAGCCGCAGTGACACCCAGAGCCATCAGGGTGACACACGGCGCCCACTAAGTGACACCCCAGAGTCGGCAGAGTGACACCCCGGAGTCGGCGGGGTGAGATCCCAAAGCCGGCAGGGTGACACCTCAGAGCCAGGGTGACACCCAGAGCCGGTGGGGTGACAGCCCAGAGCGCCACCACGGTGAGGGGACACGGTGCCACCCRCAGGGAGGGGACTGTCCTGCTGGGGCTGGAGCAGGACACTGGGACCAGGGGACACTGTGGGGACACCGTGGGGACATCACAGAACGAGGGGACACTGCTGGGCTGGCACCGGGACCCCACGAGGACACCCCAGTGCCACCCGGGTGCCACCCCAGTGCGAGAAGACACCGTGTCACCCTGCTGGGGCTGGGCACCGGGACAAAGTGACACTGTGGGGACATCACAGAGCGAGGGGACACTGCTGGTCTGGCACCGGGACCCCACAGGGACACCCCAATGCCACCCCAGTGCCACCCCAATGCGAGAAGACACAGTGTCACCCTGCTAGAGCTGGGCACCGGGACAAAGTGACACTGTGGGGACATCACAGAGCGAGGGGACACTGCTGGGCTGGCACCGGGGACCCCACGGGGACACCGCAGTGCCACCCCAATGCCACCCCAATGCCACCCCAATGCCTCCCCAATGCCACCCCAGTGCGAGGGGACACCGTGTCACCCTGCTGGGGCTGGGCACCGGGACAAGAGGACACTGTGGGGACACCCCAGTGCCACCATAGAGCGAGGGGACACTGCTGGGCTGGCACGGGGACCCCACGGGGACACCGCAGTGCCACCCCAATGCCACCCCAGTGCGAGGGGACACCGTGTCACCCTGCTGGCGCTGAGCACCGGGACAAAGTGACACTGTGGGGACATCACAGAGCGAGGAGACACTGCTGGGCTGGCACCGGGACCCCACGAGGACACCCCAGTGTCACCCCAATGCCACCCCAGTGTGAGGACACACCGTGTCACCCTGCTGGGGTTGGGCACCGGGACAAGAAGACACCGTGGGGACACCCTAGTGCCACCATAGAGTGAGGGGACACTGCTGGGCTGTCACCGGCAATCCATGGGGACACCCCAGTGCCACCCAGTGCGACCCCAATGCCACCCCAGTGCGAGGGGACACCGCGCCACCCTCAATGAAGCGTTTGTCCCGCTGGTGCTGGCACCGCGACACGGGGACAGCGGGGCTGGGAGCGCTGTGGCGACGCGTTGGGGACACCGCGGGTGACAGCGGCGACACTCACGGAGATGCTGTCGCGGGAGCTCTCGGCCTGGAAGTGCCAGGTGATGGAAATGTCCTCCGAGATCCACTCGCTGGACCAGAAGCTGCACGACAGGGTGACACGGGAGCCCACGGTGCCATAAACCTCGCGGTGCGTGTACACGTGGATTGGGGACACCGGCGACAATCCTGGGGGACACCGGGGGGTGTCAGCGCCGCGCGCCCGAGCCGCCGGTGTTCCCCGGAACGCCACCAAATGGGGACAAAAAGGGTGGAGGGGATGGGGACAGCGGAGTGGTGGCATCGCCCCCGTGTCCCCAGGAGTGGCCCGGAGGGGACAGAGGAGTTATGGCACCATCTCAGTGTCCCCGCGGGGGACTCGGAGGGGACAGTGATGATGTGGCATCGCTCCGGTGTCCCCAGGAGTGGCTCGGAGGGGACAGCAGAGTTGTGCCACCATCTCGGTGTCCCCAGGAGTGGCYCGRAGGGGACAGCGGTGATGTCGCACCGCCCCGGTGTCCCCAGGAGTGGCCCGAAGGGGACAGAGGAATTGTGGCACCATCTCGGTGTCCCCAGGAGTGGCTCGGAGGGGACAGTGGTGATGTGGCACCGTCCCG